GGTCACTGCTTTCACAGTTTTCTTTAAACTTTTTAGGAAAGGAAAATCATCTCTTGTGTCACTGTTCCTGACATTTAGTCATTAAGTATCTATTCCTCACCCCTTGCCTAATTTCCTGGAGTGAGTTCATCTAGAATTTGTTATTGTTTCTGAATAACAAGTTACCCTAATATTTAGAAACAAAATAATCATTTTATTATGTCATGAGCCAAGAATCTGAAAAGTATGCAGTGGGGATGAGTCCTCTCTACTACAAAATCGAATCTAAGAAGACTCAGAGGCTGGGAGTGACTTACGGGCTGGAGACTGTGTTAGGGTCTAAATGTATGTGTCCTCTAAAATTCATACATTAACCTATAGCCCCATTCCAAAGCAGGATCTTTGAAAGGTTGTTAGGTTTGGATAAGTTCATAAAGGTGGAGCCATTATAATAAAATCAGTGCTCTTATAAGAAGAGATTAAAAGCTTTCTTTTGAGGATACAGCAAGGAAGCCATCTGTAAAATAAGAAGAACCTCACCACATACAAGACCTACCAACACCATGGTCTTGGACCTCTCATGATCCAGAAGTGTCAAAAATAAGTCTTTTGTTTAAGCCACCTCGTCTTTGGTATTTTGCCATGATAGCCCTAGGGGTCTCAGACAGACTGGAAATTGGAATCTTTGCTCACACATGGTACCTGGTCTTGAGTTACCAATAGTAGCTTAGTAGCTGCAATATGTGACATCCCCGTGCAGCCTGTCTTCCCCACTGCATGGTGAACTTTGGTCTTTAGGCATGAGCATTACAACTGTCAAGACCACAGCTCTACTGTCTTTGCTGAGCTAGCCTCAGAAGTCACGCAGTGCTACCTGTGCTCGTTCCACTGGTAATGTAAGAATCACACATCTACGCAAATTCAAGGGGAGGTTAATACACTCCACCCCTTCAAATGAAAAATATCAACAAATTTTCAAACACTTAACAAATGTCTGTCATCCACAAACACAGGTTCTACTACAATTTCAACATATTCATCTCAAGCCCAGTTTGTATATTTATATACATTTTATTGCTTTCTATACTACTAGCCCTAATATTAGTAATGGCAGGGATTCTAATCACTTGGCATGACCAGGTACAGTCCTAAGTATCTGATACTTTTTTTTAACTGGGGATCAAACTCAGGACTTTGCACTTGTGAGTCAGGCATGATAGTTTTAAGTCTTATAAACTTCATTATAACTCTGGGAATTACAGTAGAGTGTAATGTTTGATATATACATAATGTATAATGATCAAATCAGAGTAATTAATATATCCATTGACTCGGATACATTGCTCCTTTATGTTGGAAACACTCAAATCTCTTCATCTAGTTATTTTGAAATATACAATAATTATTATTAACTATGCTCACACTATTGTGTCATAGAACACGAAACTTATTCTCCTATGTGACTCTATTTTTGTAGCAAATCACTAGTATCTCTCTACCCCCACCACCCCATTTCCAACTTCTGGCAACAACTACTCTCTCTTACTTTTATGAGACCAACCTATTTAGTTTCCACATGTGAGCAAAAACATGTGGTATTTGTCTTCTGTGCCTATCATCACCATTCTAACAAAGATGTTAAACAACTTCCATTAAGATCCCTCAGGAAGTACAGTGTAACTGTACTGTGACTCAGACAGTCTGGCTCCAAGTCTTAGTCTCTCAACCAGGCCCTGTATGGTACAGATATTTTACAGGCATTTAAAAATCACAACAAAAACAAAGCTCTAATCCACCATTCCCTGATTATAACAAAAACATTTTGCTGTACTTCTTATATATGATTTCCTTGCTTTAAAAGATTCTGGGCAAAACCCAGCACAGAAGTCTGAGAGCCATCCAACTCCTGAACTCTCCCTCGCACGCCAGGGAGATTTGTGCCAGGTTATACCAATGAACTTCTCACCGACTCCCAAGTCTGCTATCCCCATTGCTCCTCAACATTTTCCCCTGGATTGTTGCATTGTAAATTTTTATTTATTTTTTTTTCTGAGACAGGGTCTCACTATGTAGTTGAGACTGCCCTGGAATTCACTATGTAGCCCAGGCTGGTCTTGAACTCATAGTGATCCTCCTGCCTCAGCCTCCCAAGTTCTGGGATTACAGGCATGCGCCACCTCACCTGGTTCAATTATTGCATTTTTTAAAAAAACTGGATTCCCTGCTTCCCTATCTCCTCATCCTTCAACTGCAATTCAACCTCCTATCTTCTGTGGTGCAAATTTGATTATTATACCTGTGGCTTAAAGCTCTTTAAAGCCTCCTGATAAAATAACTCAAATGTCAGTACACCGTACATATAAAATCCCTTCTGCTGTGGCCTCTGACTAGCACAGCCCTTGTCTCCTACTTCTACCCAATGTCAACCTCTTGGCATGCTGCTTTGTAATTTGCCATGTGTCCCTTGCCTGCTTATGCACATCCTATATAATTTTCTGTCTGGAATGTTCTCCCTCCAAGTCCTCTCCCAGTTCTAGCCAATCGGAAAACTTACTAACCCTTTAAGATTCAACTCCAGCATCCTCTTCTCTCAGAGTTTTCTTTGACACCTTTCCCAAAGAGAGTTGATTGTCATTCTTATTCCATCATTGTATAAAATATTCTCCCAATGTTTCCTTTAAAAAGCAAAAAGGAAAATAAAAGAAAGAGTCAGGCCCAAAGAGCCTCTTAGAGCGATACCAAAACCAAAAGCAAGAATACCTATGAGTAACTAGGGTCAGGATCAGGCCCACTCTTCTTCCTTAGAGCAGCCCCTCACTGCTGTTCTCACTTCCACCCCAGTGGTCACCTCGGAACACTTTCCTGTTGACAGCAGTTAAAAAAGAATTTGGGAAAACTAACATTTCATTTCCCTGCTTTTGCCCTCATGGTAAAGCCTTAAGAACTCACTGGGTATTATGTAGACGTTGTACAGATGTTGCCTATATCTAAATGATGTTCAAATAAACAGTAAAGATGTAAAGAAAAGGTATCATAAAAACAACTGGTTCTCTAAGCCAGCTGATGAAGTATAGGTGTAAACAATTGATGAGGACAATTACAAAACATCAAATAACTTGTCTGGCTTTTTTTCCCTAATCGTGTGTGGGATGTGTGTGTGTGTGTGTGTGTGTGTGTATGTGTCTTGCAGATTTAACCAGTTATTGACAGAGGAAGTGTTTTCTGCAATAATACAGCCAACACAAATAAGCAAAATCCACCAGAATATACATTACACTTATTTCCCTGGTAATTCAACATAGGTTGGGCACTGGAAATGTCTGGGACTAGATAAACTCCTTTCCCCCTGAAACTTGTATTATAACCCACTGTGGTAGGCAAAGTAGTACCCATTTTGGCTTAGTACTTACATTCTTCTCAGACTGTCCCATTTTTCATATAGCTTTCTGAATTGCCTCTCTTTTCTTCATCAGTCTTTAAATTGTGTCTAAACAGACTACTCTATTAAAAGTGTATTGCAGGCCTGGTGTGGTGGCTCATGCCTGCAATCCCAGCACTCAGGAGGCTGAGGCAGGAGGATCACTATGAGTTCTAGACCAGCCTGGACTACATAGTGAGTTCCAGGTCAGTCTCAACTACATAGTGAGACCCTATCTCAAAAAGCCAAAAAAAAAAAAAGTGTATTGCAACCCTTCTATCCTGGACTGATTTGGTCCTATCCTATTGGGCATGAAGTCCAACATCATCATACTTCTCTTCCCTGTCCTGTCCCCTCTCCTTGAAATCAGAAAAGCCTGAAAAATAACACTAGAAATACTTGGTCACACAGAGATGACAGCAGCACCCTGCCCAGACTCTCCTGATCTTTATTTCTAGATAATGAAGTCAGGCAGACCTAGATTTCGGGCTTATTAGCTATACGATCTTACAGAAGTTGCTCAGCTTCTACGAAATTATTTCTTCACTTAAAAAAAGTGAAACTTATAACAGCAATCTGCTGGGCTGTAAAGATGTGCTAAAATCATCCGTGTTAAGCAATCACTGTATACCTGGACTCAGAGGGCTCAATGAACACTCACCCCTTCCTTTCCCTCTGCAACTGCATCCAGTTTGGGGACCTCCTGGTCTCTCACACTCCGCTGGGCATCCTCACTTTGGCTGCAACGTCCACACAGGGGAGCCTCAACTCCCAGGTTACTGTTACCCTCATTCCCCACAGGCCAAATACAGGTCTAGGTGCTGAATTCGAGGAAGAAGACAATTACTCTATTCAGCATTACTGACATTTATATACTGAGTGTATTGATTACTCATCCGTTCATATATGCTCTTAGATGGTTTATGTGATTGAGTATATGTTTGAACAACATTTTTATTTTAGATCCCTTTGCTTAATTCCTAGTATCCTTATAAATGTACGAACGTACACTATAGGTACCCATAAATATATATAAATGCATACATAATATATTTTATTTAGCATTTGTGCTATCCCAGGCACTTGAAGAAGTGGCCCATTTAATTCTCACACAATTCCCTGACAGGCAGTCACAATCATTAACCCTGTTTACTGATGAGGCAACTAAAATTCAAGGAAGTTAGGTAACTTGGCCAAAGTCACACAGCAAGTTAAATTATTATTATTTTGTTGTTTTTGTTTGGTACCGGGGATCGGATTCGGGCCGTTGTGAGGCAGACGGCAGAACCACTGAGCCAAATCCCCGGCCAGCAAGTTAAATTATTAACGCCCTCAAAACTGCTAAATACTTCGACGCACTGACGTGCTTGTGTTTTGTTTTAGTTGAAAGCGTGGAGGCTGTGGTTTGCCTGCTCTAAACTTCCAGTAAAGCTCACCGCTGAGCTCCAAGCTGACGATAAACAGGAGGACAGGTGTGACTTGAACTGGTGATGGAAGCTGTAACCCGAAGCGTCCTCCTCCGCGCCCTCCGCGGGCGCCTCTCACTTCCAAAGTTGGAGCTCGGGGCCGGGAGGGGCGGGGAGCGGAGGGACGGCGACGTCACCGCGGAGAGCGATAAAGCTCCCCGCCTGCGCCCCGACAGGACGCTGCCCGGGGAGCAGAGAGGGCTGTCCCACGCGGGACCCTTGCGGCGTGCAAGCCGCCCCTCGCTGCGCCCTGCTCCTAGGCGGCCAAGGCCCCCACCCGAGGAAGGCACGATGCCCCAGAACGTGGTCCTCCCGGGCCCTGCGCCCTGGGGCTTCAGACTCTCGGGGGGCGTAGACTTCAATCAGCCCTTGGTCATCACCAGGGTGAGTGCTTTGCTTCCTTTCCTTTGCTTCACGTCGGGGTCTCTGGCGTCCGCAGAGGCGCGATGGGTGCTAAGGAGTGTCCAGGGCTGGGGAGGGCGCACAAGACCTTTCGCTGAGCCCTGGTTCCAGGGACCGCAGCAGTTTGACAAGTTGAGGTTTGGAAGATGCAGAGCAGTTCATAGATTTAACAAAGTCCACTCCAAAGCGGCATCAGCTCGGTCCCAGCACCGCTCCGAAGAGCGGGCAACGCTGGTCTCCCCGCGCTCAGAAGGCGAGGCCGCCAGGGCCTGGATGCCTTCTCGCTCTCCTCGCTGCATCCCACCTTCCTTCGGGAGCTGACCGATGGGGACCTAGGGAGAGAAACGCGAAGGGCACAGCTGCGAACGTAGCGTCGGAGCCAGGCGAGCATCTGAGCGTTTCTCTTCTCTCCACGAAAACTTCAGCAAGGGCGCTGTTCGCGAGGCACGATCGAGTTGGCCAAGCTGCGACTGCTCCTATCAGCCCAGACAGGGAAACTATTACGAATGTGTATTCCTGGGTTTCCAGGCGTTTTAGATAAATATTTTCCAAAGCTGGGAACTTGGCTTAGGAATCATTACCTACGACTCAAACTACAAAGAAAACGCGCCAGAGTCTAGTGTACCTGATAGAAAGCAACCGCTTAGGCTGGTAACTCTGAAAATAACACTTCGATACTAAAGCCCAACTTTTCCTTACTCCATGTTCTCTAAAGCACTAATTAGGAAAAAAAAAAAAGAGAGAGAAAGTAAAAATAAAACTTTAGGGTTTCTCTCTTGCCGGTAAATTTCTAGTGTTAATTCTCAAGTTACTATTTGCTCTAATTGGTTTTTTCTTACACAGTATTTTTCTTAATAGAAAACAATTATTTCAGTTACCACATGTCGAGCGTTTTAAACCTAACTGAAAGGCACAAACGTTCAGAATATTATACTTTTATTTTCAAATTATTATACTTTTTTCTTACTGCTTATAATGCATTTTATAAATGTATACTTTATAATCTGATCACTCATAGATTTTTAACAAGGTAGTACCTTTTAAATGCTGTTGTATTTATATATGTGTATGAGCTTTGAGAACAGATGTCACATCAAAATAACTCTAAACCTGTATTATACAAACGCATACCATGTATCATTTAAAACTTTGCTTTACATTTTTTTAAAAACATATAAACACATCTAACATGTGTTTTTACGTAAAATGTGAAAACTTAACATATCCTCAAAATTGTTGCTAAGAAAATTAAACAGAAAATGCTTCCATGACCTGGGCCAACCAATTCCTTTTATAGATTTTTTCCAAAGAAAACAGTTTCCATTATCTCTTCTAAGAAATATGTTAGTTTATAAAGTATAGTTTTCATTTATTTATATTAAATGAAACAAGCTTTTGAATCCCAGAAAAGAATAATTCATATTTAGATTAAATCCTAAAGAAACAATTTTGTCCCAATGCCTCCCAAGGAATTTATAAAAGAAATATTTTTGCTCTCCCTATGTAACGTGTTAGTATCATTAATCATATGTTTGAGATTTTGAGTTGTTGATATTATGAGCAATGTTTATTTTGAAGCAGTATTACATCTGCAGTTGGACTACAGAAATTATATCTCATACAATAACAGTTGTTTGAAAAGCCAATTCTGTCTTGAATTTCTAATTCATGTCTCATTTGTCACTCATTTTAATTTTTTATTCAGTAATAGTTGGTTGGGCTGGGCATTTAGCTTAGTGGCACCACACCTGCCTGGCAAGTGCAAGGTCCCGAGTGTGATCCCTGGTACCAAATATTAATAATAATAATGGGTAAGCAGATGTGATTATTTCATGTGAGTATGCCTATTCAGGTATTGTAACTCCAGAGGATCTGGTGAAACATACCTGTTTTAGTGTCCTTAAAGCCATCTACATCACAGATGCTGCTGAGCAAATGAATGTGTATTCACTGGAACTTCTATGCCTTGGTGAACACCCAGTTAAGAATATTTCCACTGAAACTATAAAAGTACTGAAAATCATTTAGAAGAAGACTAAAAGGTGTTACTCTGATACAACTAGTATTATTGTTAGGTAGTGAAATCATCCGATGGTATGGTGCTGGGAGGTGACCAGTGTGTGGAGATACGCCTCTGCTTCCACGCAGTCTTCTAAGCCCTTTATACTCACTAAGGCACGGACGTCTCACTGCGGTCCTGGGAGAGGATGACCTTTTGCAGGTGAGGAGAATGAGGCATCGGGAGCTACATTAACCTGCATTGCTCGCAAGTGTTGAATAGGATTTGACGCCAGATCAAGTTTGCGTTTGGAAATCCCCATGTGAAAAAAAAATTCCACCCCAACTCATACACGTTCTATGGATTCTAGGTCTTCTTCGGGATCTCCCTCATGTTTGACCATTATCTTTAGTGAAGATTTCATAACTGCAGGTAGACATTTATTCTCTCTCTCTCCAATCTACCCTGAGTGTTACCAGCCATCTTGGAAATGTACAGGAGTTTCCTCATCTCTCTTAGTCTTAAAAATCCTTCGATGGCATCACCAAATTGTACAAAATAAAATGTGTGACATTTGGGATGGCATATGTGGCTTTTTACCATCTGTTCCAATTTGACTTCCCAACTTCGTTTCTTCTCTGTCTCTTCCTTCTGTGTCCGTTTCCTCTTCTCACTGTATACATGAGCAGTTGTGTCACTACTCTGATCCACTTATGAGTACCCTAACATGTCTTTACTCCTGTGTACACACACACACACACACACACACACACACACACACATGGGTTCTTTTATTTGTCCCACCCCTACCATCCTCTATGCCTATGGAAACCCTTTCAAATACTACTCTACAAGCCTTCTAGTAATAATCCATTCATCTGTCTGATTACCATAACTACTGACCTATCACCTCTCTTAATTATCATGCATGTGCCACATACATTAAAGTATATCTGTACCATACTAGGTTGCATTCCTCCCTGATGGTAGGAATCGTCTACTTTAGGGGCCACTGGCACAGTGTTTACTACATCATATGGGTTGTAAAATAGTACAGACACAATATGAATGATTGACTAAATTCCTAGCTTTTTGCATAACTTTATTTTCAGAAATAGGTACAAGATTTTGTTCTCAGAAATATCCCACAATAAAGATAAATGATAAATTTTATAGTTATTTGTTTCAGATAGGTTCTTAAGTATTCAAAGAATGGAAAAGCAATGTTTATACTAAATGTCACAAAGTGTTCCATTCGTGAGATGTTATTTCCTCAGGTCAATTAAATCAGTTTTTGTCCTGCTACAAGCTGCCCTTCCTGCTTTCCACTATACAAAACCAGACTGCAGATGATCCTCAACCAGTGATGGTGCTACTTTACAGTGACTTGAAAGTACTACACACGCACTACAAACCATGCACTACAATACACAGCATGAAATACTATGGGCTAGCAATATACAGCATGCTACTCTCTAGATGTGAGGCAGCAGCACTGAGCCGCAATTCTGGCAGCAGTATGATCATGAGAGTAAACAACTGAGACTTCCACTGCACATCTAGAAACTATATTTCACAGACTCCATGTACTAAATGCATTTCAACTTAGAGAGTTTTCAGCTTTGTAAAGAAGTTATCCAGACATAATCTCATGGGTCAAGGAGCTATTAGCAATGCTTCTGGACAGTGGAACTCCAACAAAGTTTGTGCGAAGGTGCAAATGTAAATCTCTCCACCAACTGAAACTGCAGGTCACAAAATTAAGACATAAGGCCTCTGTCCATAATTAAGACAGAATCTATCTGCCCCACAATTGTTCACAAACCAATTAATCAATGACATGAATCTGAATCATTTAGAAAACATATATCAGGCCAGAGATTTAGCTCAGTGGTTCTTCCACCTGCCTCACAAGTGCAGGGACCTGAGTTCAATCCCTGGTACCAATAAAATAAAATTAAATTAAAAATTAAAAAACACACACATCAAAAGTAAAGTAAATCAGGGCGGGGATTTAGCTCAATGGCACCGCACCTGCTTCGCAAATGCAAGGTCCTGAGTTCAATCCCCAGCATAAAAAAAAAGTAAAGTAAATCAAACAGCAGACACCAGCAGTTTCTAGGCAATAAATATCCTCTGGTTTGTGCAAGATACAATTTAAGTCTTAGATGTTCAGTTTAATGGAAGGAGTGGTAATTTCAATACCATATAAAATTGTTCTGAGTATTTCATAAAATATTGTCTAAATTCATGTCTCTAAGTGAACTTTTGATTTTCTTGCAAGATTCTAAAGTCTCTCTCTCTCTCTCTCTCTCTCTCTCTCTGTCTCTGTCATTCTTTAATTTAACAGATTATTGGCTGTCACAAAATTCCAATATGGAATACAGCACAACCTACTGTTGTGTGCGTGACATAAACTGCCTGCATATATCTGATGGCAGTGTTTTCCCTCCATTCTTCTTCCTCCTCTTCATTCTTCTCTGCTTCCTGTTCAGAACATACTGGGGTCAAGATCATTGTAACTAGAAATGCTGAATGTTTTTGGGTACCAACACAGAAATTGTAATTTTAGTAGGTTTTAACATAGAGAAGTATAGTGTTTAATGTAAATTATATTTGAAATTTGAACTTTGGGGAAGGAATGTTTACAGTTGAATGCAATACTCTCCCAGGCTAAAACAAATTTCATAGAAATGCTTTTGTGACTAAAACCTTATATATCTTTGTGCAAGCAAACTGTCTACACGAAAACATTGGTTAATATGTTTATGACTCTCATATATCCATCAAAGGTCTATAACATACAGAATAGCCTGTATATGAAAGGCTCTTGGGGGCATAATTATAACTAGATGGATTTCTCCCCCTGGAAAGGTCATCACTACCATGATACAACCTGTATGGGATTCTACCAGAAAAGCATAGCCAAAAAGATAGGAGGAGGCAGAAAAACAAAGCACCTATAGGAGAGGCATCCTGGGCT